CTGCCAGCTGTCCTCCCCACCTCACCTTCGCCCACACTGTGCGCGGACCTGGCTGGTAAGTTCATGGCCATCCAGGAGGTGAGCATGCTACCATGAATTGTGTCTGACTCCAGCAAAGGGCATAAAGAGAGGTCTAAATAAAAGCATGTACATATGTAAATATATTTATATGAGGATAGGGAAATAGATCTATGTGCCTATATTTATAGGTTTAGTATTAAGGTAGCAGATGGACATTGGTCCTCCACTCATGTACTCCCTCAATGCAAGAATACTTTGTTCCATTAAACTGGCATTCTATGATGCTCACCTTCCTGACACAATCACTGAAAACAAAGCGGGTGAATAAGCAAATGTGGTAAAGAAAGCTGATGGTGTGCCGCTATCAAATGATATAGCATCTGGGATCTTAAAGGCTTGAAGGTAAACAAGCGGCCATCTAGCTCAGAAACAACAAAGCCCACATGGAAGAGGCACACCAGCTTGTGCAATCATGAGATGTCGAAGGGATCAGTTATCAGGCATCATCAGAACAAAAAATCATATCATTGTGAATGAGGCGGGCAGTGCAGAGTGGAGACCCAAAGCCCATCTGTAGGCAATTGGACATCGCCTTACAGAAGGGTCTCGGGGAGGAGACCAACCAGTCAGGGTGCAATGTAGCAACGATGAAACATACAACTTTCCTCTACTTCCTAAATGCTTCCTCCCCCTCCGCATCCTCCCCCCAACTATCATGATCCCAATTCTACCTTACAAATCTGGCTAGACCAAAGGATGTAAACTAATACAGATAGGAACTGGAAACACAAGGAATCCAGGGCGGATGATCCCTTCAGGACCAGTGGTGTGAGTGGCATTACTGGGAGGGTGGAGGGAGGGTAAGTTGGAAAGGGGGAACCGATTACAAGGATCTACATATAACCCCCTCCCTGGGGGACGGACAACAGAAAAGTGGGTAAAGGGAGATGTCGGACAGTGCAAGAGATGACAAAATAATAATTTATAAATTGTCAAGGGTTCATGAGGGAGGGGGGAGTAGGGAGGGAGGGGAAAAAATGAGCAGATGCCAGGGGCTTAGGTGCAGAGCAAATGTTTTAAGGATGAGGGCAATGAATGTACAAATGTGTTTCACAAAATTGACGTATGCATGGATTGTGATAAGAATTGTATGAGCCCCTAATAAAATGATTTTTTAAAAATGTGTCTGACTCCATTATCTCAATTTCTCCTCTCTCTCTCATGCTCTCTATGACTTTATTATAATCTTTATGTATCTTAACCACACAATTGTGCTTACTGAACCCATGATTTGTTGTGGGGGGCTGCCCTTTCCCCCACAAGTAATAACTAGTGCAATGAAACAAAATGAGCAAAAAATAAACAAATAAAGAAAATGTGAATTAAAATCATGCATTGTTGGGCGACATGCATGTCTATAGAGAAAATCTCATGAATCTGCAAAAGCTAGAAGAACTATAGGGTGAGTTGACCGAAGTTCAAAATACAAGGTCAATATAAAAGATAAGCTGATTGTATAGAAATGAAAAATAGCTATGATACTAGAAACAATTTTGAAAAAAGAGAAAAGCTGGAAGATAACAAGTTACCACAAGTCAGGATCATAAAACATTCCAGATACATCCTTGGTGCACAGCAGCCAAATCACTCTGTGGTCCTCACCCTCTGGGCCATGAGGAACCTTGCTCTCTGCCTCTGTGGACCAGAAAGCCCCCTGTTGTGAGAGTGCACTGGATAAAGTCAAGCCTGGGTCTCTTGCAAGGAATGTAGAAAGTGTACCACAGCACCACCAACGTCCCCCAAATCCACAAATGTCTACTTGTGTTGGGTGTTGTTGAGTCAGAAGCACCATGTGCCAGTAATACTGCCCCAAAAGGGTTTTTCAGGCTATAGCAGATTTCCAGGTCTTCCAAATATCTATTAGAATAGCTAAAATCAATAATAAAATGACAAGTGTACTAGAATATGAAGTAACTAGAACTGCCAAACATTAATGATGGGAATGCAAAATGATAGAGCTACCTTGGAAATAGTTTAGTCAATTTCTTGGAAAGGTAAGCATAAACATGCCACATGATCCAAGAATCTCTCCTAGATATATGGGTAAGCCAAAAAATATCGCTACCAATCATGGAACCCTTTTAAAACAAAACTACCAGATTGTGAAGCTATTGTTTCTCAACATCTAGAGCTATACACTTCTAAAGTTGGAGTTGCCATCTCTTAAAACCTTTCCCTGGAAAATTCTACATGTTTCGATTTACATCACCATTCTGGCATCCATCAAGGACTAAAGTTATGTTCATTTTCAATATATGTGTGCATATATATAATTTTTAGTTTTAGGAACAAAAAAGTATCTGAAGAAGATCAGGGCTGTAGGGTGGATGGATTAAGCTTTTCTTAAAAAAAAAAAATTCTTGTAGAACCACCTATAGTACCTTTGAAGTAGACTGTTATCATTGGGGGAAAAAATTCCTCATGCAAACTCATTGGCCTTTTTCTCACCAATGAAGTTTCCTGTATCCTTGGAGAAAATCTAGGGAGCGTATCCCTTTGTAATCCAAGAAAAATAGCTGTAATTTCTTTAGCTGCATTTCTGGCCAGCAGATCCCTTCTGTAGCGATTGTTTTGATGAGGCCTGTTTTGTTTGGGGATTTTTTTTTTTTTTTGAAAGCATGCTAACCTAGTATCCTCTTTGCTCAATCCTAACAAGACAGTTACTGTGAGAACTTGTCAGCAACCGGCCACTGAGCACAGAGACTGGCTTAAACCCATTTTGTTTGCCCTGCGGGACAAGCTGGAACGATCCCTGTGGGTTTCTGAGACTGTAGCTTCTTACGGGAGGAGAGAGCCCCATCCTGATGGTGTGGGATTGCTGGCCTTGCAGATGGCAGCCCAAGTCCAACCACCACACAAATCTGACCCTTAATGTACCATTAGTCAACAAGAACAGATTGCTATGGAAAGTTCATCGAAAGAGAGTAACCTTTTTCACATTCTCATTGTTCAGATACAAGAACATGTGGAGCGTTCTAGAAAAATGAAGTCACAAGGGACAGATTAATGCATAAGCACTGCGAGCATGAGCAGAAATGTGGAAACAACTTCCTAAGCATGCCTCTTTCACTTTACTAGACGGGGACAATCTGACCCACCCACGCAGCTTAGCCTTGCTCATCCCATGCTTCTGCTACAAGGAGAAAAATAATACACTCTGAAATAGCTTTCATTTATCATAACAATCCTATATACATGAGTACTTCACAAACTGTCCATCTATAGCTAGGGTACAACATGTGCCTTTTGGTAAATTCTAATTTTTCCATTGAAGATCCAGACCAGCTAACTGGTAACCAACTTTTTCTTATTTCCTTTTTAAGATTTTATCCACACACACACAAGTGATGTCTCTCTTTGAAGACTTTCTGCAATTTCTTTTTGCCTAGTATGTTTTTAAACAAAACAAACAAAAAGCGTTCCCAGGTTTTGAACTGATCATTCAGTAAGAAGATACATTTGGACAAGATAAATGGAAATTTAATAAAAGTTAAGAGGTAAGTTGTAACTTTCATCACTTTGTTTTATCCTTATGTTTATTCCATTTGGCTAGTACAGTTGCTAAGAAACAAGTTCATAATAAGACTTCCCAGCCCACAGAACAACCTCCTAGCCAGCCTGGAGGATACTAAACTTTGTAACCAGGGCAATTCCCTAACACACAATGCACATCACCACCAACAGTCGCACTTCACAGGTGCGCTGTCCCTAGCATCTTCCTTGCTCCATTTACCAAACAAGTAGTTGTTGATTGTACAATACAATCAACTCCCTCCATGCAGCATACATTATAATAGAGAACAAATGAGCTATTAGAAGTGTTGAGCTCTCTGTTGACAGAAAACACAGTGAAATAAGGGTCAGTCTCTGTCACCCTACACAACTAAAAGCTGCCTTAAATTGTCGTGTGAAATGTGGGCCCATCCCAGTGAAGAGAAATGTCTGATGTATGGGTTATTATAAGAGCTGTAAGAGCCCCCAATAAAATGATCTTTTAATAAAAAATAAAAAAAAGAAATGTCACCCCACCTCTATCACTCCATCATGCAACGTGCAAACTATTTCCTAACGCCATTATCCAAATACCGCCTGGATAAATATTTGGAAAGCGGCATCAGCATCCACACAGTTGAGAGGGGGAGGGAAGCGGTGTTGGAATCCCTTAGGGGCTGCTGAGTCACCTGAAGCTGTGGCCAAGCCTTTACCCTCCAGGAAATCGGGCTCTGCCCGGCTCTAGTCAGGAAGCGAGCGAGAGGACCACCAGCACTCGTCTACAAAAAAAACAAACCCACTCAGAGCTGCTTTTAATAGAGTTGTCACTCCTTAAAGTGAAGCCAACGTAGGTTTCAGGTAGGAAGCTTTCATCCGGGAAAATGGGCTGATGATGACACAGCTCTCTTGTGGGGGGCGGGGGGTGTATTGGGGGGATAAAGCATTTGGCAAAATCAGCTTTTGCCCGAACCCCGGAAATGCCACTTTTATTGCAGCAAGTAGCCCAAAGAAACTACAGTAACGTGGCTTCCGGATGCTCTAAAGAAGTGTCCCAGGTGGACCGGCGAAGAGCCAAAGCTCCGTTCGGTGGGAGGCTTTGGGGTCCGGGAAACACGTGTGCGCACGAACGTTCACGTTCGGGAAACGCCGCCCTGGACCGGAGCAAGCAGCAGGTGCCCTCACCGCGCCCTGCGGAGCGGGTTCCGGGCCTGCGCGCGGTCACGCCCCCGGAGCTGCCGGCTCGGCCGTGGGAGGGACTAAGGG